ATGACATCCTACGCGTCTGTTTTGACAATTACAGCCTTCACGCTGGAACGCTACGTGGCCATTTGCCACCCTATTCGCTCGCAAAGCATCACCACGCTGTCGCGTGTCGTCAAAACGATCGTCGGCATCTGGGTGATGGCTTGTTTGTGCGCGTTGCCGTTTCCGCTTCATACAGAACTGATTCACATACGCCACCCGACCACCGATGAACCACTGGAATTGTCCATCATGTGCAATGTACCGCACCGCTGGTTGCCACAGATGATGTACATTTTCCAGATTTCGACTTTCGTGTTCTTTCTGGCACCGATGACAATCATTACTGTTCTTTATACCCTGATTGGGGTACGCCTGAGAAATTCGGAGATCCAGGTGGAGACCAGTAAAAATGACAATAGCACCATGAACACCGTCACAAAGGCAAGAAAAGCAGTAATCAAAATGTTGGGTAAGTATTGAGCACTTACTTTCATATTACACTATTTGATTTGTCTCTTCTTCTTCATGCGATCCTGTCTCTCCACAGCTTCCTATCCTTTGTAGCTCTTAGTAAGGTGTGTCTGTTCACTCTTACTCCCAGTTCTTGCTCCGCTATCAATTTATACAGGTTTATTAGGTAGGTTAGTTGCTGATTTACTCTGTCGTTCTTGCCTTCAATGTGAGTTTCATATTCTCCAAGTCAGCTTTCCTCATGTTTTCAAGGAATTTCCGTTGTCACTTTCTGATTCTAAGTATATGTCTCCTTCATTTTTCCTCAAATTTCGTCGTTGCTCGCATCTTCAATCTATGGTATTCTCAACATCCTTCTGTAGAACAACATTTCTGTTGCATGAAATCTCAGCAATATAAGAGAACTAATATTATATAACAGTTTATTTTCTTTGTCAGTATTGTTTCAAATTCCCTAATACTTTGCTGAGTTTTTGGAAAGCATCTTTCGCTATTCCAATCCACCTTCGGATTTCGGTGTAAAGTGTTCCCTTCAACGCATTAAAGAAATCGGCAGTGAAGTAATTTTTCAAGTCTGCTTGAACTCATCAGTTATCCCATGGGCAACAATTACTCAAAAAACATATATTTAATAAAATATCTTTCAAACCAGGTGATGGTATTTTATTTTGGGTATAAAATATTTTAAATAAAAATAATAATAATAATCTTTTATCAAATGGCGCCGTATTAACAACCACTGAATATAAAACTCGGCTTCACAGAGTGGGACAATATATGCATTGGAAAATCTGCAACTTTTACGGGAAGGACACTGCAAGAAATTGGTATGAATACCACCCAGATCCGGTTAACCTGTAACAATTTTATGAGACTTTACAATATACACAGACAGAACAACGAAATCTAATCACCCAGACATAGTGATCAGAGGTCACAAAAACTAAATGGGTCTTCTTATTTACATGTAAGTCTTTGCAGACTGCAATGTATAATTGACGATCTTCAAAAAAAGAATTATCAAAATACAAGTAACATGAAATCGAAATCTCAATAATGTGGCACATGAGAACATCAACAATTCCACTTGCACTTGGAGCCCTCGAATAGATTGGAAAAGATTTCAATCGATTCACTGAAGGGATGCCTGTTAGGCCACGCCTTAAAAAAGTACAAAAATGTTTCTCACAAGTACAGCCCACACCTTATAAAGAGCTTTACCTGAAAAATATGTAATTTCTTTTTCAAAACGGCTTAGGGAAAAATGTCATGATGACATTTCTGACCTTATGTCTGGTCGGGATATGGAAAAAAATTAGTATACACTGGAAATCTAAGGAAATAATAATAATAAAAATAATAATAATAATAATATGTTGTGTACAAAAATAACAAGTATAATAATAAATTGATAATTTTTTTCTCGGTGTAGAGCAGCTACGAGTTTTACTTTGTCGGGTTTGTATATATGGAATCTAAATTATGGACAAGCATCAAGATGTAGAACATATATATATATATATATATATTAAATAGAGTATATTTGTCCATGTGATACCGTATATATAAGGTTTTTTTTAAAAAACGTAAAATTTCAGATCATCCTTTTAACTTGAGTGATTTCAGTTGCGTAAATATAGATAGAAAAATCCTTGAAAACGAAAGTAGCAACATTCGAATGTACTCGGAAAAAAAAACCCATAAATATGAACTTTGTAAAATTTATCAATAACAGAAAACAACTAATTTGCATATTTGAAAAATTACATAAATAAACTGAGAGCCAGAATTCGTTCATATTATTTAACCAATCATATTTGAGAGAATCATTGTTATCATTTGTTCTTTGCTTAGTATCGGGTTTACAGTCCATTTAAAAATTTCTTCATTTCTACCAACGTCTTAGTGTCATTCCGCTTTGATTGGGGCGAATTATATATATATATATATATATATATATATATATATATATATATATATATATATATATATAATTCGCGGACAGTATTGTTTCGTTGTATCGCAGCTTGACAACCGAAAACCAACCGATGTGGTGTCAATCAGAGCTTCTACGACTGACCTATGTTCACTCGACAGAACAATTCAGTCAACTCTAGCATATTGTTTTTACAAACGTAAACAAACTACAAGCAGCTAAAGTGTTCCATTCATTTTACTGAAGCGCTTTTCATTTACGCAGGTGACCGTTGTTTTTAGAATTAGTTTGTCATTCAACAGTGCTCAGTTGAAAATATATTTTCAAGAGCTAAATGGTCAATAGAGAAAGCAATTTGAAGAGCTCTGATTTTGACTTGTTCCCCTGATCAACGTCATAAGAATAATGGATTTTATTTCAAACTAAGCTACATTTGACGAAACAGAACGTCATTCACATCAACGCTGGATTTACTTCACCTGAATCGTTGTTTTTTAAATTAGATTTTACGAATTACAATTTTTTATTTATATATTCAATATTCATTTTTTATGACGTTTCGTCTCTCACACTGTTTTAACGCCACTTTAGTTAGAACAGCCATTAATTTGAACATGTTCAGTAGTATATTAACCGCTGGTGATCCATAGATCAGAGCGCCTTAATTGCATCTTCGTCTGAGTGAAATACCTTCATTGTTTTTTTTTTTTGTTTCTTTTAAGTGTCATTTAGACTTGCAAATTGTGATCAGGAAATTTTCGGTGTCGTACAGCTACATATGCGTGTGTTGTTTAATGTCATGTCTACCATACGTTTCCTATTTTCCTTCCTTTAAATTTCGGAATGTTTTGTCGATGTATTTCTGGGCTTATTATTTACATGTTCTCTGGTAGACTGTAAATTCTGATGTAAAGATTTTTAAATTCATACTGACTTTTGTCCTGGTATATCATGATTTTGATTTTAAAAAGTCACGGCAGTTAAAAGTGAAAGCAATTTACTCAGACGAAAGTCAACAGAATTTACCTTAATACCCTTAATGTTGTGGCCTGTTTAAGGGCCAGAAAGAAAGAACACGGAAGACGAAGGTAGGTTGAAAAAGTATATTGAAGATATATACAAAACAATAGTGTTAGTAATAAGTAGATTAGCACTGCGTCTACTACTCCACTCCAATCTACCCGACTCTCGCAGTGTGTATTTATGAGAGAAGGAAGAGTTCATTATACTGTAAGAGGGTTTACCACAACACTTAACATCCACAGTACATTTATTTCCAGGTTCTTAAAATCATTCATTTCATCATTCTTGGCAAATCTTCTATTATCACAATGCGTGATACTTAACAAAAGTGATAGAAACATAAAACAATCAAAAAGAATCTAAATGAAATCTGCTAGACGATATACCGAAACATATTTTTAAACAAGTTACGTTTCGAAATTTAAAATTCCAGCGTTCCGTCTCCTCAGTGCGCATGTGGATCGTAAACATCGATTTATCGATATAAACATGATTTCACTTTGTAGATTTTCCTTAAATATGATGTATAAAACTCAGAACAATATCAGGTAAATTAATAACAAAAGGGAAACAAATTCAATGTAAAGTCTTTAGTTTTTTGAAATTATTCTATCTGATTGAAGTAATGTTTCTATTGATGGAATTATATATATTTGGGATAGGGGTAAATATACATGGGATAGGGGTAAATATACATGGGGTAGGGAGAAATATAGATGGGGTAGGGGGAAATATAGATGGGATGGGGGAAATATAGATGGGATAGGGGTAAATAGACATGGGGTAGGGGTAAATATACATGGGGTAGGGGTAAATATATATGAGGTAGTTGGTTTGGGTTGGGTTATTTTGATTTACGGCATATCAACCCGGGTTGGTTTGGGCACCTCGACGTGGTGTAATGGTGAGAAAGCTTGTCTTGCTTGATCAATTACGACTGAGTAGTGAGTTCGATCCTCACAGGGTGCCCCATACTTTCGGCCTTGTGCCACATCAAAGCCGGGCTTAGAAAATCCATATCAACCTGAGTGGGTCAATTAATGCCGACAATTTTTATTGCTGGTAATATTTTGTTTTGTCAAAAATCTATTTCTGGTAAAAAAAAATTTCCCTCAAAAATGTATAGCTGGTAATATTATTTAAAAAATGTATTGCTGGTAATTTTATTTTTATTTTTTCAAAAACGTATTGCTGGAAATATTTTTTTTCAAAAATATATTGCTGGTAATAGTTTTTTTTTCTTCAAAAATTTATCTCTGGTAATAAATTTTACAAAGTATTTCTGGTATTTAAACCTATTTTTACATTTTCATAATGCTTTTTACCTCAGTCCATTATTTGCCAATAGCTGGGACCCTAACATGTGCTACCACCCCAGGTCAGGGTGGACCTGGAAACACCAGCAATTAAGAGGCGGTTCCATGCTCCTCAAAATCTCCTGATCGGAGGCCTTGTTGGTGGGCGTAGTTTATTGTCTTACCTAGGACACGGATGTAGTTTATCGTCTTAGCCAGGACGCGAATGTAGTTTATTGTCTTACCCGGGACACGGATGTAGTTTATCGTCATACCCAGGACAGATATATAAGATAGAGGGAAATATAAACTTAAATATCAGTTATAATCATGCACATAGGGGAAATGTTGAAGATGTAGTTGTGTTAGTTCTATTTTATTTTTGTTATTTAATTTTCAGTTTCTGAATTCCGACGTATCGAGGCGCACAGCTTAGCCTATCTCACTCTGTTTCGAAACGCTTTTGATTTTGTGTTGGAGCTAATCATCATAGAACCAAACACCGACATCTGAAATTTAACAATAAATTATTTTCGAACTTTTGCTCGAATTCTACTCAAGCGTGAAATAATATTTTTTTAACAAAATCAGTTTAAAAATATGATAATACATGAGAGTAATATATTTTCAAATGCGTCACAGACTCCATTTGCAATTATTTGAAAAGTCGGAGAAATCAAAGAACCATTTTGAAACAAACCTAATCGATTTTTTAGGATATAACATGAGGTCGTAACGACGCATTTGGAATCTTCTAAGAATTGGCCCCAGTTTTCTCGTTCTCAATACTTCCTTCTTCAGTTCAAACGAGGTTAAAAGGAAGACTAAGTAGGTGGAGTGCTGACTACATAGCTAATCGTATCAACGTTTGGTTTACATTGAAATCGAAGCAGCTTCCACTTGGAATGATTGATTTTATATTGTGATGCGTACGAATGTTAAAATACGAGGTGATGCTGAAAGGATCAGGACCTGAACAAAGCATGCTCCAGTATTTAGATTTTATTGTTCACATATTGAGAAGAATTAAGACACACAGACGCAAACGCAGGTACAAACACCGACACACTTAGACACACACACACACACACACACAACAATTATATCCCACTGCCCTGAAGGAGATTCTTCTACCTCTTGTTGAGATTTCTAGGGTACATGATGAGGAAACAGCCCTTGGAAAATTTGATAATCACAGTGGAGATTGAAGGCAAGATGGTCAGATGTGACCAACGACGAAGTTTTAGAGAATATGAAAACAAAAAAGAACACTTATAATTAGAAAGCGATAAATAAAGAAGAAAGAGAGCTTGGAGAATTTGACACACAGAGGACATCCAATAACCAATCTAACAAGATTTTGGAATCATTTTACCGAATAGGAACTAGACAATAACAAAAACAAAGTTACTAAGAGCCGCAAAAGACAGAAAGTTGTGAAAAGCCATGACAGCTCACGGCCTGAAGGAGCACATCATATAGAAGAAGAAAAGAAATGGATCCATTTGGGGATTTTCATTAGACCAATTTTCGGAGTATTTGTTTCGGCTGCATCTTTTTAATTTTATTCCAGTCTTTTTTCTTTTACTAGATTTATTTTTAGCAATACTCTAACGCGTGTTAAAATCCTCCTAGTTTCCAAGCGTAGCTTACATGTGGCACAAGGCTGAAAGTATGGGGCACCCATTGAAGATCGAACTCACTATTCAGTCATAATTGTTCTAGCGAGACAAGCTTGTTAAACATTACACCAACTCGAGGTGCCCTAGTAGAGTTTTTTCAAAGCTTAGCTCAAATGTGGCACAAGGCTGAAAGTATGGGGCACCCATTGAGGATCGAACTCACTATTCAGTCATAATTGTTCTAGCGAGACAAGCTTGTTAACCATTACACCACCTCGAGGTGCCCTAGTAGAGTTTTTTCAAAGCGTAGTTCAAATGTGGCACAAGGCTGAAAGTATGGGGCACCCATTGAGGATCGAACTCACTATTCAGTCATAATTGTTCTAGCGAGACAAGCTTGTTAACCATTACACCACCTCGTGGTGCCCTAGTAGAGTTTTTTCAAAGCTTAGCTCAAATGTGGCACAAGGCTGAAAGTATGGGGCACCCATTGAGGATCGAACTCACTATTCAGTCATAATTGTTCTAGCGAGACAAGCTTGTTAACCATTACACAACCTCGAGGTGCCCTAGTAGAGTTTTTTCAAAGCGTAGCTCAAATGTGGCACAAGGCTGAAAGTATGGGGCACCCATTGAGGATCGAACTCACTATTCAGTCATAATTGTTCTAGCGAGACAAGCTTGTTAACCATTACACCACCTCGAGGTGCCCGCCCGGTATCTATAATTGTTGAAGTTATCGTAAACTTTTTTTTGTCGAGATTTACAAACTTCACCTTTCTTTGAATTTCGCTAACTAATCGATGGAATTTGAATAAGCTGACTTTTTGGAAAAACTCTTTGACAAAACTCTTCTTATCGGTTTTTAAGCAACATAATAAAACCACCTGTATTTTGTACTCCTTGTTTGTACTCACTAAAATTTGGCTTCGATTGGTCAATGTTTGACCATATGAGAAGGTGAGACGGACGGACGGATGAACAAACAGAATTTTATGCATTATATCAGTGCCCCGAAGAACTCTATTTCGTTCCGTTAACAATTCTGGTGCATGCTTGGTTTCAAAGATTTAATTCCTGAAAATGATACATGTCTGTTGCGTTTGCTTTTATATTTTGTCTTCATTTTCTTGTTCATTACTTTCTAAATACTTATTTACTTGATATGGAATGTGCAATTTGTACGTGAATTGTTCAATTGATTGATTCTAATTAGCCTTGTTTCATTAGCAAGCCTTTCCTGGTATATTTTTTCTACTCCAAATCAAAACTTCTCTCCATTAATCACCTGACAGCTCCCACTCTGCCTTCAATAAGCATGGCTGATGCTTACTTCCAGGAAAGTGACTCTTTACGGCTTCTCGAGCTCACGTTCTAAGCAGACATGAAGTGGAAAGAATATTTTGAATCCATTGCTATATAAGCTGCTAAGAAAGTCGGTTGACAGTGTCATGCTAGACATTTTTTATCTCCAGAATCTATCTTATATCTCTATTAGTTTACCATTCATCCAAGCTTAGAATATTACTGCCAAGTATGGTCCGATGCCCCTGCTTTTTAACTTGAGCTTGTTTGATAAAACCCAAAGAAGAATCAATAAGAAGCAATATTATTGGGTCTGATCTGGTAGCTCGGCTCCAGTCACTTTTCCATTGCTGTAAGGTTGACTCTGTCTTTTCTGTAAATACTTTCAGGGTAATTGTTCGGATGAGCTCTATGGTACCTAGTGTTTTATTTTTAATTTAAGCGCAGAAATTTAACGTCGAGCTGGCTAGATATAGCCGTAAGTTCTATGCTAACAGTTTCTTTACTTGCACTTCTTGCTTGTGGGACTCCTTTCCGGCTCCATGTTTTCCAGCCAACTTTAATCTGCAAAAATTTAAATACAATGTCAATCGTTATCTACTGTCCTCCTGATTACTCCTTTCTCTTCCTGTTCATTATTGTCTCTGTTCCTAATTCTTTCACACCCAGTAACCATAAAAAAATGACTACTTGCTCTAGAAAACGCAGTAGAAATCACGAGCGTGTTGAGGCTGTGGTTCCAGACCCCATAGTTAGAGTATACAGGACGTGGGGAGGGAGAGAGAGAGAGAGAGAGAGAGAGTGTATATATTATGTACAAAATTAAAAATCAATTTATGAAATTGATCGTTTTAAAAACAGCATAAAAGTACCGAATGTAAAACAAAATAAATAATTTTCCTCTTTAGGCAAGTTAAATTATAAAAATAAATACTTTATAAAAACGTTAAATTCACGGATAATACAATCACATGAAATGGACACAGCAGACTTAGGTCCATATCGTCTCGAAACACACGTTCACGTCAGATCACCGAAGTTAAGCGAGGTTGAAACTGATACCTAGATAGGTGAGCGCTCGGGAATACCAGTTACTGTAATCTTAGGAGTGCGGGTGGTGTAATGGATAACGACTCGGAGTTAAAAATCGAAGAGCCGAGGTTCAATTCCAGTTAGGTCCGTTATATTCAGTTACGCGCAAATAGCCTTGGGATACCTATGAATCAACCTCTTTTCCTCATCCTAGCTATGACTAAATTAGTAGGACTTTATCAGTAAATCATTATTATCTTAAAAATATACTTTTAACGGCTTGAATGTTCGAGAAATTTCGTAGAAAATATCTGCTTCAGGACGGTTAATATAACTAATTTTCATCAATAAATTATATCTATAAAATGACCTATAAACAGATGATATATATTAAAATAACAGTTGAATTCATTTCATAATATGTTGTAACATATTATGTTAAGATATATTTGGTCAGCAGATATGATCGGGCGTGAAAAATCGTCGAAGTTATGTGTTTATAAACAGAAATTCGAACTATGTTAACCAAATGCTTCATTTTGGCTGAATGGTTAACAGCAGATTGGATCAAATGATGGTTTCCATTGGGGTTACAGGTTCGATCCCTGTCGGAGGAATACATATTTACTACGAAATTTCTTTAAAATTCAGGCCGGTAAATATAATTAATACTGTTTAATTAAAAAAAAAATAGAGCATTTGCTTAAATAAATTATATCTATAAAATAAAATAGAAATAGAAGATACATAATAATAAAAAACTCTGTGAACTTATAATATATATATATATATATATATATATATATATATATATATATATATATATATATATATATATATATATATATATATATATATATATATATATATACCCAAGTATATAATTGGTGTATACGGAATGAATTCCAATAACCAACAATTACTATTCTTAAAAGTAGAGCAGATATAATTATTTATTTAAAAATTTATAGCATAAATATGTTATAAAATCACTACAAAAATAGCCATTTGGTTTCAACACCTCCGGTGTCTTATCAAGTGATGATGTTGAATGTAAAATAAATGGTTTTAAAAGTCTCAAATTAATTAACGATCCTTCGCAAGGAGAAAACGTTGTTACAAAAGCTAGAATGACCAATCAAAATACAAGTATAGGAAAATTCAAAAAGCTTGATAACGAAGTCATGTTATAATAACTATTCATATCTTTAAAATAAGGGTAATATTAAAAAAGAATTTATTCTAACCAATAATTATTAAATTATATGATAAAATTTGATATTAAAATTAAAAACTGTCAATTTCGAAATGCAAATTTAATCACTATTAAGTTTAAAATTATAAAATTACCGAGGAGAAAAGGAGAAATACATATGTTATTCAATTTATTCCTTCGTTGAAATTGAGTCCAACGGAAGATGTAAAGAAAACAAACAAGACCGATATATATGCGTCAACAAATAAATGTATTAAACAACAAATTTACAAAGACATCAACATTTGGGTTTGAGTGTGAACGTAAAGAGTGTATTTTGGTGAATGTTGGTATGTGCGTTTCGTGGCGTTTTCCCACAAGTGGGCGAAAACGCGGATCTTCACGAGAGATTACATTTTAAAATGTGTCCGCTGAAATCCAAAGTGAAAAAGAGAACGCGACAAGAATTTGCCCAGTATTTATAGTGTAGGTTAGAACGTCCCCTAGTGAAAAATTAGGGAATGAAGGGGGAGATAACTCCGACAAGATCTTGGCGTTTCCTTCAGGCCTATAAATGGCTGCCACTACTTCAAGATGGAAATCCGAAAGTCTGGCTAGCATGTTTAGATCGAACTTTAGGCCAATAAACCTTATGAATACATTTCCATTCTATTTATTTCGTGACATTTCTGGTTTCAGTTCTTCAAACCATATCGCTCACATTAACAACGGGTAATTATAAGAGGAACACTCATTGTAGCATAGTTTACAGAAGCAAGCGGTAGGGAGATGATCTAAAGAAGGAATACCGACCCTTAGGTAGAATTTTTTCCTCACGATGTGGCTTGTTTTGCTGAGGTATATGTACACAAGAGATATGTTGACATTTCACATTCTTGTGGCCGTCTCCATGGCTTCGCGATTTTTTTATCATATATCGAAACGCTGACAAATAGGAACCCAATAATTTCAGAAGTCCATGTCCAAGCAATCTTCTGGCCAGCAGTGTGACCCTCCGGACCAGTGCTTTTATCCATAACTAGTATTTGGGATTCTGTCATTTAAAATGGATCAACAAATGCCACAAGCACCATGAGAGAGAATATGTAATTATGTTAGCTACCAACACGCTATATGATATATAAAACGAAATAGATAGATAGATAGATAGATAGATAGATAGATAGATAGATAGATAGATAGATAGATAGATGAAGAAAGAAAGAAAGAAATAACAAGAGAGATATACATGAATGGATATAAATAAAGAAATAGATAGTAACAATCTGGAAAGAAAGAAAGAAAGAAAGAAAGAAAGAAAGAAAGAAAGAAAGAAAGAAAGAAAGAAAGAAAGAAAGAAAGAACAAGAGTGATATATATGAATGGATCTAAATAGAGAAACAAAATTAAATAGTAACAAACTAGAAAGAAAGAAAGAAAGAAAGAAAGAGAGTTATATACACGAATGAACAGAAATGATGAAACTAAATGAGATAGAGAGAAAGAGACAGAGATAGAAAGAGTAACAAGATGTAAAAAAAAATAAAGAAACATACATAGAATATCAAATAAAAATATAGCGAAAATTGATGGGAGAAATAAATATATAAAGAAATAAAGAAAGAAAAGATAGATAGATAGATAGATAGATAGATAGATAGATAGATAGATAGATAGATAGATAGATAGATAGATAAAAAAAGAAAGTCAAAGATTATGATACTTGAACGTATAGAAATAAGGAAACAAAATGTCATACAGTGAGAATGAGAGAGAGAGAGAGAGAGAGAGAGAGAAAAGTAGCAAACTGTAAAATGAAAGAAAAAAGAAACAAACAGAAAAAGATAGTTTAAGAAATAAAGAATAAAACTAAAATACATAAAAGAAAGAAAAACTCTGTTACAGTCAGTGGGAGATAGATAGAAAGAAGCAGACATAGATAGATAGATAGATAGATAGATAGATAGATAGACAGAAAGAAAGAAAAAAGAAAGAAACAGGCACACGGATTGCTTGGTAGGTATATAGTTTTGGAAATAAATAAAAAATCAGTTTGATATCTAATGTTTGATAAGCACTGCGCCACGAAAAATGTTTTTTTCCCCCCAATCACTAACTCGTGTTCTTTAATTTCAGTTTTGTATATATTGATTGAAAATGGTTTCCTCTTTAGAAAATGCCAGAGTTCGCCTCCTTAACCATGACAGAACACTTTTGCCTTCACGCGGAAGAAACCTAGCAAGTTGGTTGCAATTTCACAACCTTTTTTATTCTACTGCCTGATCACACACAAACACGAACACGCGCACACAAACACACACACAAACACACACACACACACACACACACATATATATATATATATATATATATATATAGATGGATGGATATTAATGCCAAATTTATAGGCTACGCTATTTTCAATTTTTTCTTGTTGAAGTTATTTTCTGACTTCTCTTAAAGTGTATAAAAATGGAATTTACCCGTTGCTCGATTACTTGCGAAACTTAGAAGGAAAATTCATCTCGAAATATTATTGGGAATTCCGAAACATCAATACCAGTCGGTTGTTATATCTTTCCTGCGGAAAGTGCGACGGTTAGCGATTCAAAACGAGAAATCAATGAGCCGATTTTGAATTTAGACCGAGTTCGTTACGTTTACTTTCGGATAAATAACTCTGGGAAAATTAGGATTACATCCACTGGCCGCCTCGTCCTTTTTTAAACAAAACTACTGAAGGCTAGTTGTTAATCATGGTGAAATTCCAAAATCTCCTACTGAAGGTAGTGACGGTGAGTGAGAAGAAGGAACTAAGCTTAAACTACAGGAAGACGGAGTGCATGGTCGTCAGTAAGATGATGAGCCCGAAATATGATTTGAAGGTCGGGAACGCTAGAATCAAGCAGACGCGGAAGTTTAAGTACCTGGGAAGCGTCTTGAAAGAGGACGGCAAGTGCGACACTGAGATCCGTAAGCGTATTGGGATGGCTAAGGACACATTCGAAAAACTGGGCAGAGTACTGCGAGACAGGAGGATATTTTTGATAACGAAGAAAAGAATACTGAAATGTTACGTGAGATCTGTCCTATTTTTACGGCAGCGAAAGTTGGACGATTTCTACAAAGACGAAAAAGGCGACAGAGATGTGGTTCTACAGAAAGATGTTAAGGATAATATCATGGACCGAGCCTGTGAGCAACGATGAGATCTTAGAGAGGATGGAAACAAAGAGGAGTTTTTTTTACTTAATATCAGGAAGAGGCATCTGAAGTTTCTGGGACACATAATAAGGAAGGAGGGCCTGGAGAATCTGATACTCACGGGTCAAATAGAGGGAAAGAAAGACAACGGAAAACAACGCGTGACATACCTGGCGGACTTAAGCAAGTGGATGACAGAACGTAGTCCGGGGGAGGAAACAGAGGGAAGGAACTTGTTGAGAGCTGCAAGGGATAGAGGGAGGTGGAGAGCCATGATTGTCTACGTCCTGAAAGGACATAGTACATAAAAAGAAAGTTTTAAGTCAAGAGGGACAGAGGAAAACAGTGTATTATCTATCTAACGAGTTTGTGTAAATGTTTGGCTGAACAGTGATTAGGATGTGAGATAGCAAAAAGACAGTCTTTATTAAGAGCTACAACGGACAAGAAATTATGAAGCGCTACCATTGTCCACGTCCTGGATGGACATAACAAGAAAAAGAAGGCGAATTAGCTTGTGTAAATGGTTGGTCGAAAAAGGATTATGATGTGAGATAACAAAATGGCGAATTTTGTTAAGATTTACGAAAGAAAGGGAAATTTGGAGAGCCATGATCGCCAACAGAAGTGCACGGCACATAAAAGAATAATGAGCTTGTTCGAATGAATAGAACCATGGGTTAGGATATATAAGCAAAAAGACAATCTTTATTAAGAGCTACAGCGGACAAGAAATTCTCAAAATTCCCACGTCCTGTAGTGTCACGACACTTAAAAAAAGAAGATTGTATAAATGGCAGAAAAGGGATTAGGAGAGATAGAAAAAGACAAACTTTATTATGACCTACAAAGAAGAGGTGTTTACTCGTTCCCCCACCAGAACGAGATGTGACACAAGGTCGTTTTAAGGCGCGTACACTCGGGCAAGGGACAAAAATTGCCCACAGACACCGATCCCTCTCTCTGGTGCAATGGCCTCGGGCAGTTGTTCCCCAGGGCTGGGCAATTCTCAATTTATTTTCTCAGTTGCTCCTCTGTCCTTTGACAGAGTAGCCCCTGAGAGCACTCTGTCCAAAGATCGAGACGCAACTGAGAGATGATAAGTCAAGGGTTACAAATCCCTCCAAGAAGGAATTTTCACGGTAGAAGAGTCACGATCGCACAATTAATGAAGGCATACGATACATAGATAAAGAACGTGTTCGTGTAAGTGTTTGGCATAATGATTAAAAGAGATAGCAAAAATAAAAAAATAAAATATATATATATATATATATATATATATATATATATATATATATATATATATATATATATATAGTTCAGGCGGATGTTCTACCTGAAATTAGATACATTTTCTTTATAGACGCCATCAATACGGATGTACGCAATTTTGGCTATAGACCAAATAGGGACACAAACAAATATGATTAAAAAAATTTACTAAAAAACAAATAATATTTCAACAATCTTTCGGCCATTAATTCTTAACGAATTTATGTGTTTATATATAAAAAGTTTTACTTTATAACAAAATAATGTTGAACTATCTTACGTAAATCCTCTTTAATTCAGGATTGAGAAATATTGCATTTGCAGGTGTATTTCTTAACGGCTGATGAATGACATCTTTTAGGTCCTAGCGAAATTTTTGCAATATTTTTGAGCGGATGATATTCCAGATATTTTTATTTCGTTCTGCTTTGTTTCCAAGTCTTCTTTTCGCATTTGATAGAAAAGATTAAAAATGTTTATTGTCCCGATTTTCTGGAGAGATGACATACCACGTGGCGTCGAGAGGATGATAGAATTCTTGAATTTTCTCTCTGAATTTCTGGGATGTGGAGTTATATAAATTTTTGTATTCAGAGTATTGTCTTCATATTTCTTGAAATCACAAGGTTTCGGCCGTTTTGCCCTCTAAACTTTTTTTTAGTAACGCTTAGTCATTTTTATCGCCCGTTTCTTTGATGTCCAAGTACACACTGCCCGACTGAGGGATTGAACTCACAATCACTATGTCACCAAATTCAATTTCATCCACTTGGCCATTGTCCCGTAGTAAATAGCAATACATGAAGAAGGCTGGCTAAACCTAATTGTCACGTGATACTCAAGATGAGCAGTGATTTAGTCTATCTGCTAATATCCATCTTGGAACCCGTGACCCGAATTTGTAGTTCTTCGTGGCCGAGAATGAACCATGTCGGAACAAATGTAGGTTTCTCCTATAAACTGAGATGCAGGTTCGATCTCTTCCAGAAAATATTTTCTTTACTAAGATTTATCGAATGTTCAGGTCGATAAACCTAATATCCATAATTAAAATGGGACGTCTATTTCAAATTTGAAGTGTCCACTAATAACGTTTGGAATAATTAAAAATTGAAATTGAAAATAAATCCATCATTTCTTTAGAAGTTGCTTTGTTTACGTTTAGAAAATGCCTTACAAGGATAATTTTTTCAACGTAGCTTTTATTTTCAATTGTCCTTTCATTGTGAGCCTGCAACAGGATTTTCTAGATTTCACTTCAAAAAGACCCGAACAAGAATAGAGATACAAGTCTGGGTTTGATGCGTCCGCTAATCGGATGCTACGAGTGTCCTCGATGTATGTTTACTATTGATCGGCATGCTGGTTTTCTTGCCATTTCAAAACATTTTAAAAAATTCTCCATTCTAGAAAAGAAACTACCATCGTTGCTTTAAAATTTTATGTTTCTCTTTCTTTTTTTTTTTTCAGTGGCGGTTGTCGTCTCTTTCTTCGTCTGCTGGGCACCATTCAATGCTCAAAGACTCATGACCGTCTACATTGGACGAGATCAATGGACTGAAGCGTTGATTGATTTCCAAGCCAAATTGTTTTATATTTCAGGTATTATTATTATTATTATTATTATTATTATTTCCTTTGATTTCTGGCGTTTACACATTTCTTTCCGGGTCCCGCCCAGGGACATAAGGTTAGAAATGGCATCATGTCATTTTCCACTGGAAAAAAAAATCATAGATAAAGCCCTTCGTAAAGCGTGGACTGTACTTGTCAAAACAATTTTTTGTATCACTTTGAGGCATTGACTTCCAGGAATCCCTTCAATTAGTCTACTGCAATCTTTTCAAACCAGTCCTAGGGCTCCAACTACAACAGGGATTGTTGATGTTCCCAAGTGCCATATTTTTGAGATTTCTATTTCAAGGTCCTTGTATTTTGACAGTTTTTTGAAGATCTTCAAAGATACATTGCAGTCTGCAGGGACTGCCATATCAATAAGGAGGCACCTTTTATTATTATTATTTGATTTCGGATTTATACTCATTTGATTCCGGGTCCTAGCCGGAGATCTAAGATAAAAAATGTTATCATGACATTTTCCATTGAATATTTTTCTAAAGAAATAAAAATAAAACAGCCTAATAGTACACACATTTTACAAATATAAAACGCTTCGTAAGACGTTATCTTTACTTGTGTGAACAATATTTTGTATTTTTTAGCTCATAGGTTACCAGGTATCACTTCTACGAGTCATCAGAAACTTTTTCAATCAAACCTAGGGTCACAAACCTGACTGGAAGTATTGAAGCCTTCACGTATTTTTATACTTCAAAGATACATTACATTCTGCAATAAAAATCACATTGTTTTTTCTGATATTTGTTTACTATGTCTCAGCGATTATCTTTGATGATTCTGTTTGTGTACGTTGTAAAGTCGCAAAAAATTGTTACATTTTCTAAGTTTGTAACCTAGTCTGCGTGGTGTTCCTAGCAAAATTTCGCTGTTTGCTTAAGTTGCTGATTTTCCG